AGTGTGATGGGTTGGTGAGATAAACAAATTGGAGTCGCACTCACCGCACAGTGTTCCAAGGTGGTTTGTTTCAAGTGTTGTAAGTGGTGTGGAGTGGCAACGTAGTAAAGGCGAAATACTTAAGTCCATTTTTCATAGACGCTGCATAGACGAGTGAACATCCTTGCGTTTTGTAGGCGCTGAGTTTCACTGCTGATGCACCAGTTTAGGATCTGTTCGACAGAATGAAGTGGATCAGCGCGAAGAGCTTGGGTGCATTGTTGGATGCTATTACTTTCCTGTTATGCTGCGTGTCACAGATGACAGGACGGATAGCTCCACCAAACACGTTAGCATTGACGTCCCCTTTGGAGGAGGAGGAGGGGGAGGGAGAGAAGGAAGAGCAGTTGCTTCTTCCTTCCGTCCACCTTACAACAACCAATCAGTAGTTACTCACGCCATCAACAATCCACACCTCACTCAGCGTCTTCACATGATTCAGTTGAAGGCTTACAGTGAGCGATGATTGGAAGTGATGAGTGAGTAAAGAGGCCTCGGCATTGGTGCCGGAAGTGTGGTGTGATGTGATGCGGATTCCGCTCAACACGCACCACCTGCACTGAATTGAATCGGGGTAAATGTGGCAGGATCAACTGACCTTCCTACATCGTGCACCAAGAATTTACATGATTGCTGGTGGTCATGAATGCGGATGTTTCTTTGCCTACCTCAGAGAGGGTGGACGAGTGCATACTTCCATGAGTGAATTAGTTGTAGAAAGTTGATGAGGCAAGCCCTACTCCTATCCTCAATCCCGACTATCCATGAATTCAACTCTGTGGCCTTTGCCTTCTTCAAGCGCAGATGAAGGGGTTGACTTGGAGAGCTGCATCATTATCCAACTTGGTTGAGTCCTACGCGGGGAACAGCTAACATTGGCACAACAGCTGACCATTGTTGAAACAACAAAGAAGTGGAGAACATGGAATGTGCACTTATCATCTGACCAGAACCGATGTAGAGACCATGAGTTCTAACCGCTCCCTTCCGCCCCACAATTCCAAGTTGATGACAAATGAGTCTACTTCCGCCGGTATTCAGACATTCATCCTCAGTCTTCCCACAAATTCAATTTTGTAGTTGACTCGCTGACACGCTCAGATGGAAGGTGGTGCGCTTGAAGTGCTCCTCCTGACACGGAATTGACAGCACAACTCCATTGGCCTTAACAACCGGCACTGGCATAGAATGACAAATGCCTCATTCGTGACTTGCATTAATCCCGTCCTCTGCTGCGCATGAGCCGACTTGACTACCACGGCTGTGGAATGCGGTTACTATGGTGATCCGCTGTCATCAATTGACTGCCGTTAGTTCTGTGCCAGTACAACTGTGCTGCTTAGCATTGCCGGACACAACGTTAGGGAGTCCTCTCGCACAGAAGTTGAGTGTGGAGAAGTGGACTACATGCACCTGACCACCTCCACTCCACCACCAACCCTTCCGCTCGTATTCCTCAACTTTGTGTTTAATCACCTCGATGGAGAAGATGCGAGGATAAGGCTGATCGTGAAGTTGAGCCAAACCTCTGCACTCCATGATGCCTCACCACGGCAAATTCTTGTTGCACGAGATGTGGGGGGTTGCTCTGTCGAGGAGTAGTGAATTGTGGTGGGGTCCTACCGAATGCCCGGTGGTAGATGTCTTTGGAATGATTCTGGGGAAAAGAGCAGCCTCAATGCACATGTTAGCGTCGTGTGGAGAAGAACAAGGAAGGAAGATCAGCATCGTGATTGGTGGGTGCTGTGAGGCAGTTGCAATTTCTTAATAATCGCTCTTCTGCTAGTTCTCTAACTTCTTATTGTTTATCTTTACGTACGATTGTTACTTTTGTTCTTTTGTCTCCTTTGTTTTTACTGGGACTGCTGAACTATAATGGCCACATTTGCCCTCATCGTCCGTTATCGCCTCTTCTTATGACGCACCGATAACCTCCAGCTACTGGTGATCTAAGAACAATTTAATGAAGTCTATTTTGTTAGCAGTATATAGTGTAGTTTGCCTTTTTTCGAATGATGTATAGAATGTGAAGAGCGTGGATTGATTTTTATTGTTGATAAAGTTGACCCTTTTTTTGTCGTTATAGTGTCTTGTTGGCGTAGAAGTGGATGTGCTGTCTTGCTGTCTCCAGCCGGCATTCTCAGTCAGACGTTGGTGATTCGTTCCTACGCTCCTCTCTGCTCACCTTGCTCTCGTCTGTCCATACACTGGTAGGAATACAACTAAATGCGCAGCTGTTTAAATATGCCAAAACAGCGGCCGAAATTTTTGAATGCTGTTTCTTTCCAATGGTTTTGGTCTACTATTTTCCATTGTTGTCGGTGGTAG